GATGATCCTTGACACGAATTTCGATGTTTTGGCATATTTTTCTTGCGTGACTAAAAAATTTGGCATTTTATTCATTCATCGCACGAGTTTATTTCAAGAAAATGGCGGTAAAAAAGAAAGCGCCCGCAAATTTTTGACACTCACTGCCTTAATTAAGTACGATACTTCGTGCAGCTAGAATGTCACAGAGATACAGATTGTTTGAAAATGTTACCGCCTCACAACTGAATACAAATGTGAACTTTATACGTCAGTACGGTCCACAAAGAAATCGAGGCAAATGATATTTATGATGTATTCAATGCATACGGTAGTTGCGGAAATCAAGCTCATCAAAAACAAGGTATTCAACATGTACGATTTTTGAAAAAATCTCTAGGTCATCGGCTGAACTATACACTCTTTTCTTATATGAACCAGCAAATATTTTCTCATTCAAGGATAAATTCGGGTAAATACTGAAATAATTTCGCCGTTCGTTTCTAATTTCAAAGCAACAAATTTCTGTGACGTCAATTCCGTGCGTATTGGCACTTATAGATCATAGTTCTCGACCAATGAAATTGCTCAAATTCTTATGGTTATTAAATAATTTCATATAGTACAGTATGATTACCGTGGCTGTTACGAACTTTACTGTATAAAAGTTAGTTATATAATTTCAGTTATCAAAATTACGCTGTACATTTTTGTGCGCCTTAACTTGTTCTTTTTTGTGCTATTTTTCTAGAAAATTCAACCTCAATGTTCTTATTGACTCTTGGTCTTTATAAAAAAACGAAGGATTCAAGCAAAGTTTCAAAGAACAGCAGCTTTTCTGACTTGTAACCGAAGTCAATCCTGACATGTCTTTTTTACATTAGTCCGGGTCTTTCACAATACAACTCTCCAAGTTATTTTTGATTTATGTATCTACTATTTTTTAAGAAATAAAAGATGTTTACTGTGTTTGGACAGGCTTGTGCCAAACAAGAGATTAATCTGCCCTGGAAGAAATAATCCTTGTTTGTATAAAAACTGATTGATGCTTTTTCATAAAATAAACATAATAAAACGCGTGCAAAGATTGGTCTATAGCAGTGTTCGCATTAGTCTGAGCTCAAACAATCAATCAAAGTGAATTTGCAAATCAATCATGAATACATTTTAGAGCATACTCTCGAGCAGGTGCAAGCCTCCGACCTTCGATCTCGGGCTTGCACTGTTTTAACTTCACTTAGGGAGCCACGATTATTTATGACAAAATTAAAAAGATATTTGTGTTATAATCCTGCAAAATAAACAAATCGATTTTCAAGTCAAAACAGTCGACGCCGTAAGATAATATAAAAGAGCAACGACAATATACGCAAGGTTTACATTTGTACCACGTGACATACGAAAACACAACACGTGTTCCCATCGGAGAAGTCGTAGAAAGAAAGCTATTGAAATTTGATACGATTTGTCTGCCTTCATTCACGTCAGACGTCTTAAACTAAAATTTCAAACACAGAAACAAAACCAAACAATAAAACTAACCTGAAGTTCTCAAACACAATCTACGTGGATTTTTAAGGTAAATATTTGTTGTTTTCAAATAATATAGAAATAGCTTTAGCTTAAAAATTGTTTATCAATGTAGTTTACATATCGCAAATGCGCGTTGTAGCTACTTTATAAATTGAGTAGATATTCCACGATTTTAACAAAATTTATAAATTGAGTAGATTGTCACAATTGCTCTAAAGTTGCGTCTGAATTGTTTATGCATTGGAAACAAAAAATCTCACTCCTTAGCTTTGTGGACTGATCTATACAACGCTTCATAGATAACGTTGGACAAATTTCCCACATACAACATGAACACGTAATATAGCCTCAGTGTCGGCCATTGTGTATTAATGTACCTTTTGCAAACATTGAATTGCTTGTATTTATTTCACATGCTCGTAATTCAGTAATGGGAATATGTCAATAGTGTTAGTGTCGTTTTCGGCTTCATTTCCATGGCGTCTTTTGCTGATACTGGAGCCGAGTATTCCCTGTAATTTCTGATCAAATTTGCGTAAAACTTCCTGATTAAATATCGCGATGATAAATGTCTATACATTTCTGCAAGCTTGTGGGAAGGAGGGGGCACATCCGGTTGAGTGTTAAACCATTTTAATCATAAGATAATCATCAAAGACATAAGCTTTCCATGCAAAGACGCTAGTTCGTCGAAAATGAAATACAAATTAATACATTTCTCACCAGTTCTGGCATTGTTGTACGGTTTAATGAGATATTTACTAAAAAAATAATCGCCTAAGCCCAGCAAAGTCCATCAGGTACATTTATCATACGTTCAGTAGAGTAGAGAAGTGGGAAGACGTTTTTAAATAAAGTATAATTCATACAAATGCATATACGTACATGTTGCAATGAATATTGTTGCTTATTGTGATATATTAGTTGATGTTGTCATTGTTAAAACATTTTAGATGAACGAAAGAGTCTATATTATTACAGCTATTTTGACATCGCTGAAATATATTCCGTGGTAGTGCACTAAAGTTCAAATGCTTCGCCCAAGTACCACCTCGACTTACTTTTTACCTAAAAGTCTTCTCGTTACCGATTTCTACACACAAATAAATCACTTAATACAATCGATGTAATTACACAGGGTCTTTCAATGTAGTAAAATTATACATTAGATACAATTTTACAGAGTAATTTTTTAAGGAGTCGCAATCAATTATTTTGTACACTTGATTTCGTGATTGCATTTATAGCTGAGAAAACAAGAAAACGTTTACAGAGGCTTTGTCTTTACACAACAGGTTATCATAAGTTTCATTAACAATCAATTTAATTTCTTTTACTCGGGAAGTTAATAAAAAGATAGATTTCCAGACTTCAAGCCATGAAGAGAAAATATACCTTTGAGAAAAACCTGAATAAGAAAAAATTTAAAACAATACAACTCAAAGTTCCAGAAACGACGCATTGGTTAGGATCTGTCAGTATTTCAATCTGTCAGTATCGATATAATCGATAAAGGGTCTTTCATTACAATTTATTTTTTAAAGTTATGATCTGCGAACAACTAGTCATGTTGTTGTTTTGTTTGTCCATGGATACAACGTAATTTAAAAGAGAATACTTGCCGTTGTACAGAGTTTGCAGTTAAATAATTTGTATACGTTCTTTCCTCTTTCTGTGCCTATACCTTTGCACTATGTACCCCGTAAGCTATTTTTCTATAGAAAATGCATCAAAACATTTAGCAAAGCTTTAGCTTCAACAACAATTCATCATAACATTTCAATAAAAAATCAATTCAATCTTTTCTTCATCCAGGAACTCCATTATAACTTAACTGCCCAGACACAGCTATGAACACGCATTGGAAAAAAAATAAGACGATACAACTCAAAGCTCAAGAAACGACGCAATGGCTAAGAGGTAGACTGTGTCCCATTAGAAAAGAAACAGCATGGTTTGTCAAACCGTTTTCTGAGCTTCCAGATGGCTATGAAAAAACAAAAGATGTCTTTTTGTATCCAAACTACATTTCGAAAGAAATTCTACCAGTTGCTGAAGGAGACATTCTGGAATTTATACTTGGAGATAGAGACAAGTCCAGACCAATGGCGATTAAAGTACGCGTGTGTCAATACTCACTAAGATTTCAAAAGGACGTGATCAAGTACGTGCGGAGATTGAACATGGACTTGAATAGCACAAAGTGTAAAACAATTTTGACCCAAGTTTTGCCTTGCAAATCCATGTGGAAATACCTCGGGTCCCCTGTCTTTGAAGATGGGCCAGGTTAGTAAGTGTTCTATACGTACGACCAATAATCATTGAGTTATAGCGAGTTTGAAAGCAAAACTTTTAGAGTCAAACAGTTCAAGCATACCAAAACTAAAACCTTTGCGTGTTATTTTCATAATTTTACGATGATTTTCTTTTGTAATTGCTTAATCAGCATTTTCCTCCTTTTACTCAAATCGTCAAATTAGGGTAATAAATTCAGGAGACGCGAGATGAGCTGGTAAAAGTGAACAGGAGATCGCATGCGCCATACCACCAATATAAAGTGTATAAATATTTGCATGCAATTAAACTAGCCGCTTGTAGAAAGCGAAAATTTAAACTCAAATTTAGAATTTGCCATAAGTTGACATTCATTTATTTACAAACAACAATTTTCATCTCAAACAGTCCCCATTTGTTAAACCTACGTTTTCTGAGGTAGTTAAATGTATCGCTGCATAGCTTATTATCATCTTTAACAGGCGATGGATCAGCAAACATGTCGTATATTGAAGCATTATTAGAACTTATACAGTTGCTTCTTCAGCATGGAAAGGCTTACAAATCTTTACAAGAAGAGGCAATAAAGAACATAACACGTGGTATAGTTTTTCAAGACACCGAAGATGAGCATTTATTGAGCATTCCTAAAATCATCCTATCTTGCAAGTACACTAAAAACGACAAATTCCACATGGTAGAAGAAAATATTTTTTTTTCTGCACAACTCTTGCGCGATATTTGCCTTGATACCATCCGTCATGTCCCAACTGTGACTCACTTCCTTCTACCAACCGTGAATGCTTTAAATAAAAAAATACGAAGTACAACAACACAAAATTTCTTATACACTCTGTTGTCATTGAATTGTCGAGAGAATTATGGCTTCGTTATGAACGGATGCATCTGGTTGGATTTACCCTTGATACCAAGTGAAGAAGAACTTCACGGTAATTTGATAGAGATAGACAAAAACCTGACACCAGTGAGGCTGAACACTCCTTACGACAATCCTGAGCAATATATGAATACGTATTTTCGATTGATTCGCGCAGAAGCCTTCTCTGCAATACAACATGGTATCAAAGATCTAAAATCGTCCACACTTGATCTTCGAGATATGAATCTTTACTATAATCTTCATCTAGCTGGTTTTGCACTTCAGAATGGTCGGTTCTCTCTGGCAATTCACTTTACACCAACCAAAAAAGTGAAAAAAATGGGAAGCTTCCCCCCAACTTATGTATGGCAACCTGGTGTGCATCTCACTAAACAGGAAGTTTGATGACGTCATATGGACAACTGTTTCCACAAGGGATACAGATCTGCTAAATGAAAATCAGATCATCCTGCTAGACTTGTTAGATGAGAATCGTAAGAGTATAAGTGAAATCGTAAGCTCGCTTCATACACAAGCAGGTATGAATTTCGTCTTTTAAATGTCAATGTTATTAATCCTGTTTTATCTAATGGATATTGTTAACCTTGAATATTTCTTACATCTTATGCAATGACCGTAGATAAAGTTATGAGTTGATTAGAAAATTCTAGTAATTTTTGTCCAATTAATTTCAATAACAATCATAACATCATGGTTATGACATCATTGAAAGAACGCAACACTTAAAAATTACAGGTTTGGCTATTATGGTGGAATCTCCAACATATTATCGTTCCTTGAGTCCAATTTTAAAAAGTCTGAAAGAATTCGACATGGAGAGCTTTCCTTTGCAAAAAGAGATCGTGTACACAAAAGCTTCAAAAAAACTTCCACAGTATTTAAGAAAGGCGACATTCGATACGTCGGTAGTTTTCCGGGAGACTTCCAATCTGGACGATGACTCGGAAGGATTTTATTCCAATGAATCGTCAGAGAATAGTGATGATGATGATGACGATGGCTCAGACATACCTTCGGAGTATTTGATCAAGGAGACATGTTCCAAATTTACGCCTTCTTGGAAGAATCCTATTGACAATGACTCAGACGTCAATTATTCGAATGAATCATCAGAGAATAGTGATGACAATGGCTCTGAAATACTTACAGAGTATACAAGCGATGGAACATTTTCAAAATCGGCGCTCTTTGAGGAGAGTATCTTAGAAGATGACTCCTACGACATTTATTGGAATGAATCATCAGTGAATAGGGATTACGACGATGGTGATAGTGACGCAGAGATACGTCCACAGTATTTAAGCGAGGAGAATGACTCAGAAAACATTTATTCGAATGAATCTCCAAAGAAAACTAATTATGACAACGATGAAATTACACATGGTTCAGAGGAAAGTCTAGAAGGACGCATGTTAGTCAAAAATTTCTTAAAAACTTTTAAAAAAAGTAAAAATACATCTTTGGAAAATAGTCAAAGAAGAGCGTTGGTGCAAGCGTTGAAGAACAGAATTGGAGTTATTCAAGGTGAGGAAGAGGTTTTTGTAGCTTTATGCATCAATATACAACATATGAACACAGTAAACCAAATATGGTCAAGTCCACATTACTTCTTGCCTAAAGTGACAAATGTTTAAATGTTATAAATTACATTGTTTTGAAACATGAATACATAGACCATTTGGTAACATTTACAAGAATCAAATTAAAAGAAACTTTAAAAAGACTGGCAAAAATGACCTACAGGGACTATAAAACAAGAAGGCAGTACAAAAATAAAATATTTATATCAGTGCTATGCAAACTCTGGGGGGGGTCACCTCCTGCTCCAGCATTTAAAAAAACTCCGGCTTCTGCTTATTAAACTCCAGCTTTTGTTGATACAAGCTTCATTTTCGGTATAAAGTTTACATGCCCAAAAATTCAGGAAAATTGGAAAAATCAAACAACTCTTCGTGTCAAAATGGAAACAAGGTTTTAGTTTCATGACTAAGCAAAAGATGACAAATGCAATATGACTGAGATTTTAGACTCTTAATATTAGACTTAGCTAGCTTGCCGATGTTTTTAGGTAAATCATAGCGTGTCTCAGTAACCCTAGAGAAAAAACTCGCTTAAACGTTATTCACATGACAAAGAAGATATTACCTGAGGTGTAAGTGTAGGACATTCGTTCTTGTGGCGGTACTAATATTGACTTGTTTTGTAAATATTGAAAAAACCAAATTTGCAACTTTTTCTTCTACTGAAGGAAAAAGTTTATATAAAGACTGCGGCTAAAAAATGGTATTTAAAAACACAAAATTCAAAATGACGTGAGATTTATTATTATTATTATTTTATTATTATTAAAAATATTTAAAAACGGTAACTCTTCAGGACTCATAGGCACTTGTTTTTCAAGAAGCCGTTTACTTATAGTATTTCCAAAATTCAATACACTAATAAATTGTATTATATAAATGCATGCAAGTCAAATATTAAATTAATATTATACTATGTTGCATACAATTACGTACAAAGAAACTAATTATGTATGCACTACTTGAAAAATACGAGCCGGTCGATAACAGCTTGCTGGCAATTTTTGATAGTCTTTGAAAAACTCACTCGCCAAATTGCACTCGAAACCATGCTATTACATATACAAATTATACTTCCACAAGCCAGTCATTCCAAAACTTGTTATATTCATTAGGTCCACCTGGCTGTGGTAAAACGTTCATTGGTTTGAAAATAGTTCAGTTGTTGCTATCACTGTCTCCAAAATTGGAGAAACCAATTTTACTGTTGACGTACAAGAACCACGCTCTTGACGAGTTTCTCAAAAACATGTTAGATTTTTGTGACTTAGATGATATGGTAAGGATTGGAAGTCGATCGAAAGAACCTCGATTGGAGTCTTGTAACTTAAACAATCTTCGGAAAAAATTTAAATACGACAAAGCTACCAGCGCTGAGATTTACAACATTTTATGCGAAATAAACAACACTGAAGAAAAAATTGAGAGAATTTCAAAAGAGCTGGAGCGAAGCTCGTACCTCACGCAAAGTAGTCTCGTCGATGAGATGGAGGAAGAGCAACTGAAATCATTTATCGCAAACGCTCCATGGGGACAAAGTGGATTGGTTTGGAAAAACTCTGCGAAAAAGATCGTCGATAAAAGGTGGATGGAGTTACAATTACAAAAAGCGGTGATGCAATATGGCTCCATCAAAGAATGCATTCAAAAGGGATTACGTTGCAGTTTATCACAGAAGGATGTCGTTAGTTACTACTGTGTCTATGCTTTTCAAAAAGTCTTGGATTGTTTGTTACCAAGTAGAAAGGAGCTACAACGTATGAAGCAGTTTCAGTCAGAGTTTATAATACAGATCGATGCAGAAAATAGAAACAGTGAAGAAACGCAGCAAACTGAAGACGTGACAAATGAAGAAGACAGCGGTGACGAAGATTATGTAAAACAGCTCACAGAAACTAGAATAGAGGCAGCAGCTAAACAGATAGATTCCAAAAACCTAATTCTATTTGATTTTAAGAATAAAGAAAATAGAAACGATGTATTGCTTAGCATATCTGACTACCCTCCTAATATGGTTGTGAGTTCTCAAATACGCTCCGTGCAAAATATATGGAGTTTGAACGAGTTTCAAAAATTGCAGTTCCTTTACGCCATCATGAATGATAAAACGAGTAGTATGTCGCAGGAATTAAATGATTTAGTTAATCGGTTACAGACACTGAAAAGTCAAAAAGAAGAGTTAGAAATTACGGAGAAAGTCATGCACCTGTCAAAGAAAAAGATCATTGGTGTAACCATCACAGGAGCATCTATTAATCATGACCTACTTCACCAAATTGATCCGAGTATCGTGATCGTGGAAGAAGCTGCTGAAATACTCGAGCCCAGTTTGCTCGCAGCGCTCACGCCATCCATTCAACATCTCATTCTGATTGGAGATCATAAACAGCTCAGACCACAGGTCGACACATATAAGCTGTGTAAAACATTTCAATTTGATATCTCCATGATGGAAAGATTGATAAAATCTGGTTTCCCATACAAATCACTTGTAAAGCAAAACCGAATGCGTCCCGAGTTTTCAGCATTGCTCAAAGATATTTATCCATATCTTAAAGATAATCTTCCTTTGGTGTCACAGAACGAGCCGCCAAAGTGTATTGAGAAATCCATGTTTTTTTGGTCTCACAATGATCCTGAAATTAAAGATAGAACTTACAAAAACCCCAAAGAAGCTGAACGAATCATACAACTTATTAAATATTTGTTATGTAACGGTATACAGCCGGAACACATAACGGTGCTTGCAGCATACTTAGGTCAAACTAAACTACTTCGACAACTAATCAAAGCTGAAAATATAAAAATCAATCAATACAACAAAGAAGATCGTGATAACTTTATGCAAGTACAAACGATCGACATGTACCAAGGCGACCAAAACAAATACGTTATAATCTCGTTGGTTCGTTCTAACGATGAAAACAAGATTGGGTTCCTCAAAAAGATCAATCGTCGTTGCGTTGCTCAATCGAGAGCAAAATGTGGCATGTACTTTGTGGGAAATTCAGATACACTACGTGGAGCGAAGGATTCTTGCTGGTCTTCGCTTGTTTCATCCTTAGAAGACCAAGGATGTTTAGGGAATGAAATACCACTGCAGTGTGTCAAACACAGTACTTCCAAGTATTTTGCAAAGGATGGTGATAGCATCCGTGCATTGATTGCAAAGCCAAAGTTACTGTGCCAACAAAGATGCGGTGATTACTATCCTCATTGTGACCAGCATCCATGTAGGTTGTCTTGTTTTCCAAGACACAACCATTATGAATGCCCAGTGTTGGTTGATGACAAATTTCCGGGTTGTGGCCATGATGTAACGCGAAAATGCGCAACAAGCATCACCCAGTTACACTGTCAAACCATAGAAACAGTTCAGCTTGATTGTGGTCATAATATTGAGAAGAAATGCTCACAAAATAAAAATGAATTGAAATGCAAAGTAATGGTAACGGCTACATTTCCCACATGTGGTCACACGATCGAGAAAAAATGCCATGTAGATATTAACCTTATCAAATGTCTACATCCTTGTAAAGAAATGAATTCGTGTGGAGTCCATCAATGCCAGAAAAAGTGCGGAGAACATCATGGACACGATACATGTGATGTAAAGATTGATTACGTCTTTCCAGACTGTGGTCATCCATCACCAAAGAAAAAAAAATGTTCCGAACCAATAACTTGGAAATGTCGCTACAAGACACCGTTTACATGCAAATATGGCCACGAAATCCAGAAGGAATGCTGTCAAAATGACAAGGAAGTAATATGCCCTGTTAAACCTTGTGGCAGGTTACGTAAATGTGGTCATCCTTGTGAAAATGTTTGCGGGGAAGATTGCGAGAAAGGTGAGTGTAAGCATTGTCATAGATTATTTTGCAAAAAGATGAAGGAATTTCGAGCTGCAGCAAAGATGCGTGTTAATGAACTTGAGGGGAAAATTAACAAAGCAGACATTCCTAAGTTTTCAAGAGATGAATTACGCGACAGTGGTCCTACAGCTGCAGAGTATCAGAAAGTGAAAGATCAAGTGCTTAAATTTCTTCAACCTTGTTTCAACTGGTTTCCAAGAATTACAAAAATCGATAAAATCACAAATCTTGTACTAGAAAAAAATTTCGAAGCAGCTAAATCCAAGGCATTTGGTGACTACATTGACACAAAAGTTTATGATACGTCCACAAAAGATTTACGAAGTATCATTCGTGAAGGTTTCAAAATGCCCCCAGCCAAACTCAAACCACCAAATAAGCCTGGAATGTTTGGTGAAGGAATCTATTTCTCCACAGATTCTTCGAAAAGTGCCCAGGAAATCTACACAAAAGGTCATCAGACGTTGCTCCTGTGTCAGATCATGCTTGGAAAAACATTGACAGTGAAAGAGGCGGATTATACATTAAACAAGAAAAAACTAAGATCCCAAAACTGTGACTCCGTGTACGCCCCACGTGGAACAGCTGTGATAAATGACGAATTTGTGATTTTTGATCCAGATCAAGCTCTTCCGCAATACATCGTTCAATTCTCTAACAGCAAAAACGTTTTACCTCCATCTCCCTCAATCTATACCACAGAGTCGTTCAGCAAAAAAAGGATGTATCCGAGTAGAGAGAAAAATTTTCAAGATCCGTTTGAGATGCATTACCATTTTGCTGAATCTCACTTTAGACGAATGTCTGCCAACAGCAGTTTAAAGAATGTAAATATCACTGCCATTGATATTGTCATAAATAAGGATCTTGAAAACAAGTTTGAAGCAACAAAGACGAAATTTCGTGATGAAGGTATTCCAGATAAAGAAATTCTCGCATATCATGGAACAGATAAGAAAAACATCGACAGTATTCTCCAGAATAATCTTCAGTTAGGTTTTGCACAAAGACAGATGTATGGTTATGGAAATTATTTCTCTGAGTTCCCTGAAGTCAGTATTCATTATGGCGATGGGTTATTGCTATGTCGAATTCTTCCTGGAAAGGAATTCATAGATTCTAGCTCCGCTAATATACCATGTGGTTTTAATTCAAAGAAAGTTGTCAGGCAACGTCTCGGTCTTCGTTGTGCAAGTGTTGATGCTTCTGCTTCCTCAAATATCAGTGGAAAAATAATCATCATTGAAAATTCTGACCAAATTTTACCTTACTTTGTCATCCATCGTTAAATGACAAAATATTTTTACGGTTAAAATAAACCTTATGCAAAGAAACAATCATCAATGAACACGAAAACTAAATCCATGATTTGGAAAATTTACTAAAGATAAAAAATCGATTGATCTTGGAGAGAAAGAATGTAAAACCCTTGGTAATGCCCATTTTCCATCCATGAAACAACAAAAAAGCCGTAAGACATTTGCTCAGCTACTTCTTACATTAAATAATACAACTACAATATTATCACCGTTCCCGAAGAAAAGAAACATAAAATAATTTAGCAGCATTTTTCGTCGTCCGCACTACATTCAGATAGATCCAATAATTCACGGCATGCATTATAGTCAGTGTCATCTTACGTGCTGCTGAGGAAGGAATGCTGAAATTTATAAAATTAGTGAACCAGTTGTAAATGTTTTTATATGATGCATAATTTCCAAATTTGTGAGAGTTGTGCCAATGTAAACCTTAAATTTATCCTTTTAGCCTTAAATTTAGCCTTTTATTTTTATGACATTTGCCAGTTGTAGATGGCAAATGTTATTAGAAGCATGTGTTTCCGACACTAATTATTAGGAGAAGCACTAGTCGAAAGAAAACCAATCATTTTCTGCTTTAGGATTCTTGGTATTTATAATTCTATGTTGATATATCAACATCATCGTGAAAATTACAAAAACCATAGGAATTGTTTGAAAACGCTCAGCCCTTTCACAACACAATTCTCAACATAAAACTTTAATTTATCAATTGCTTTAGATATCCGCTCACCTTTTAAAAGCTTCTCTCTCTTCTTCCACAACTTGGCTGATACTCGCACGTAAACCCAACACTATAACGTTCATCGAGTTCTCTCCTCTATATATAAAATGACTCGTTTTCAATTTTCTGGTGAGTGATAACGAGTAAGCCCAAATTGAACCATAAATTTCATAGTACATCATAAAAAATAATGCATGCAGCAAATGTAATGGTAAGAAATTTTTTTGAGAGTTTAAAAAAATATTGCATCATCACATTTATAATTCACTACTTCTATGGGGCAGTTTTTTAATCAACAATTGACCTCTTTAAGGGTTGGGCGCGCCACTTTAGGGAGTATGTGGGTGTTGCGCGACTAAATATATATGAATATGCATAAAAGATGGTGCAGGACCTGATAAAGAACGAAATAATCAGGTCCGGTTAAAAGTGTGGGCTATTGCATCAAACGAAAACACAACTAAAGTCGATTCCAGAAAGTATAACACCCCCTAGTGTTTTGCATGCACGCCCCTGACCTTGCTGCTTTGTAGTCAGGAATAGCACACAGCAAAGTCACCGGTGGTTCTGTCGATGAAAATTATAAACGCTCATTTTTGGATGGGATTGTACTTCCAAATACTTTAAAACCATGCAATTCAGTTGATCGACATTTCATGATTTGGAAATTCACGAGAATCACGACCAACCAACAGCGTCGTCACGAAGGTGTTTAGGATTTAAAATTAAGCTGCTATAGTTGATTTTGACGTGCACTAGATCCGCTACTTGCTGTCACTAGTCCATACATTGCCTTAAGGTTGAAAACGATAAAAAGTAAATAAAAAAAATTATTGCATTTACGTTTGACGAGTTAAACAGTGTAACAACATATACTATAAATGAAGCCCGGGAAACTATAATTCGTCGATTATTTAGTTCAAAAGAAAATATGTGATAATTGATGAATCTATTTCAAAATCCAGTGATGAAAACACAGCTTCGATGATCCTTAAAGCAATAAAGTTAACACATACAACGTTTAGCGATGAAATATGGACGCAAAAATGTATGTAATATTTCTCCCCCATGTTGACAAAAAAACAACCCAGATGAAATGCGTTTATCGGACAACACTTTTGAAGAATGATTATTAATTGACTGGAAATATACATTTTGTCATTTAGAAGCACGAATAAAATAGACATTTCGTGAAAAGCGTGGTTATTTATATCACTCTACTGAACTTTTTCTTAAGTGCAAGTCATTCAAGGGTAATGGTAATAATACATAATTAATGATACATTACTCTAATCATCATTTAAAATTCACGACAGTCACAACCTCGGTCACAGCCAGCTACGAATATTTAAAACGCAACGCTTATTTTTAATACGACACAAATGCATGGATATTCATATAAAAACGACGAATATCCAAACCAATACATGGAAATCCATTCTAATGCGGTGAATGAATATACATGTTAATTGAGTTTTTGGGCAATCCCTTAACGTTGTCCAAAAACGTCAACGAACTGTACGAGCGACACTTTAGTGGGTAGCAACATGGCCAACACCCTACTAAAATCATACGAGTACTGTATATAAGAAGCTATATTTTTGCTACATGACACATTTTATTGAAATAAATAGCATAGCTCTGTAGGGTCACCAACATCTTTCAACGAAAGGCAATCTCTGAATGCAATATGCGTTTTCCCTTATCAATGTAACGGAAAGACATTAAAAGAGCATTGTAAGAAAACAGCATGTTGTACCATTTACGATAGACTATGCGTCTGGTTGTTGAAGCGATCAAAATAGAACATATACCTCGCCGCCAGTGAGATAATTGAGTCGCAGGTCGTCTAGGTAACAAGACAAAGACTATATACGTGCACGTGCTGTAAAATGCTCCAATGAATTTTGTTCCTGGTGGGAGGATTTAATTGAAAAGCTTTGCATTTTTTTTGCAATCAACAAAGTTTATATATAGCAATGAAATGAGAACTACAGTCCAACGACTTTGTATCTTCCAATCGTTGTATCCTAAATTCCTATTGTCGTACTTTCCTGGTATGAGAGTTGAGTAGGCATAAGTAGATGGACTTCATATAGCCATACTGCTCAACAACACAAATACATTATTGAGATAGATAGTATGACTAAAAATAAAATGTTATTTATGCAGTGCGCAAGCAAATCATTAACCATATAATAGTTTCAAACATTTTCGACCTTATTAATTTATCACGAGTAAACGTTTTATTGGGTCCAAACAACATCTACTCATCAATTTTCCTACTTCATGATGAATCGAAATAAAAAAGCGAATGAGTCTTTGCCCCATTAATTCTTTAGCAACATGTATTCTACTTTCAATTGTTTCCTGCTTCTATTCTATATAAAACAAGTTCCAATCATTTGATCTAAATATACATCTGTGTAGCTTATAAAACATTATAGAAATATCGTTAAAACATTCAGAAATATCCATACTATTAGTAAACGATAGTTGAAACTACTGAACATAATAAAACGAAACTAAATTACCACGTCATTTAAAAGCTGATCACATACAAAGACCATTTTCACCGCGGTTTACCAAAAATATCTACAGCGCATAAAATTGCACTATAATTATCTGCATGTATTATGTTAAGAATAGGCACAAGATCTTTGTCGAATATAGTAATTCTTACTAAAATTTGACGAGTCCCAAGTGGGGGGAAATTGTAAAGCTCAATGTATCTCAACGTTTACCTATATCGCATGCAATTCACAAGACAAAAATTCGAAGAAAATTTCCAAAACTTTGCCGTAGAAAACTTGGCAATGGCAAATTTTTATGTTTCAAACATAGTTTGTCTTTTTATTAATACAAATACGCTAATATCGCAGGCACGATAATGTTTTTTGAAACGGAATAAATAACTAAGTTCCACTGATGATAAGAGCAATAAGCACCATTTATCTGACCGAGATTAAAAGTTATATAATCGTTTGGTTTAAAAATATGCACGATGTTCATTGCATTGCATTTTCTCCATTTGAAAATTGAAACACAGCCAAAGTGTTTGTCCGAAAATTACTCCTAATTAACGATAGGTATTTAGCCCTTAAAAGGTTAAATTTAGACCAAAAGCTGTTAAGCTTTTTTCCAACCAAATTACCGACGGCCACATGGCATTTTAAAATATCACTAAAAATAACAATCACTTTGCATTTCCTCAACAAATAAGCACCGTTTACAAGAAGAATTTTGGTGCCAATATTTGTCATCGCGATAGCATTAAGACAACATATATTTATGAAAATGTCAGATGCAAAATAGCTTATACGTGGCTTTTACGTTCCTCAAAATCATTACTATTTATAAAACCCTATTGAAAGTTGATACATGTGCAGAATGGTTTCTTTTCTGGGAACATTTGTACTAAAAAAAGCTGAGTTGAAAGTTGATATAGTCTATAGATCAAAGGTTGCTTTTCTAGACACATTTTCCGACCACAAACAATATAACATGATGTCAAATGCTTCACAATATATCCTTTCGTACAGTTAACAGACATATGGCATTGCTAGAAATGCAAGACAAAACAAGAATTGAGAGATAATAAAGGAAAGTTACAAGTGAAAGCATAATTATCCAAGGAAAAGGAAGATTACGCATGTTATAAACAACTCGCAATTTAAATTGATCTACGACCGACTAGAATAATGCGTTTTAAATGCATGCAGAGTTAGGGGTAGAGATAATGAGTTCAATTCATAAACACCTGCAGATTGAACGCGGTTGCCAAGGAATCATGAAAGCGTGATCAAGCAGTTTGACGTAACTTCGTTAAAAATTTAAAAGCAATATTTTTTCGCGACAGTAAACACTTATTACAAACAGTCGTGTTTACGTTGACGAGTATGCGTCCGAAAACATCGATCTGGATAACGATGTATGTAGTCTAACTGATTCACCTCCACTTCAATTTGTTTTTGATAATAAAGTTAGTTACGTAACAAAGAGAAGATAAAGAGTTCGTCATGTCTCATATATAGCGTTTATCTTGAAAGTATGCATACACGCACGTCTTAGCTATCTTAAGTTATGCAATGACGCAGGCTATAAACATCGATGGAAACATCGACACTTTTTTTCGCAAACGAAAAACTCGCGTTTGTAAAAGAAGGTCGAGTCCACTGACGAAAACAGTATCACTGCTTTTGGCATTAATCTAAGGGTTGTTCTTTCACCGAGAAAAATTTACGACGAAACATCCGTTCTGTTTCTTTCTTCTAATATTTAACATCACGTACGATATACGTGAGGTTGCAAAAAGACATGGCAGTTTGCACGCCAACTATGACATTATACGCTAAAAGCAAAATGGACCTGCGCCACTGTGCGTCATACATTGGAACAAACACACACCATACGTGTCGAAACTAATTGCGAAGAAGGGGTGTGGTGAATATCCATAGCTATATTGAGCTCAGCGGATAAAACCGATTCGGCTGAGCTGAATATAGTACGCTTTCCCCGGACCTCGACCACCATTATGGTGTACCAATTAAAAAGAATTTTAAAGTTCTTTGTTTTGAACACCAATATATGACAGCTTTCTCTATTGCCGTGTTTGTTCCTTGGGAGTAAGTAAAAACGCTCCATATGAATATCCACCACACACCACACCCTATTAGCGTTCTAGTTTCAGCCAAGCACATTTTCTAGAACCCAGGCTCTAAAGTAGATTGAATCAAGCAGTCGTTGTACACACAAACAACATCAGTTTTGCATTACAGAAAGGAACCAAATTAAAAAATAAGACGCAGAATGATAATGCCAGACTAATAACGGCAGGATTCAACAAGCGATGTCGCAATAATTACGTCCTTCCAACTGATACGCATAAACAAGTGATTAATTAAGTACTTTTTTTAAGTAAACAATTCGGACAACTCAATATTTACAACTACTTTAAACTCATTTAGACTCTTGCCAGAAGAATGTTGTATTTATAAATTGTCTCCAGTAGTTGAGTGATTAGGTTGTGTACAACGAGAGTTACATTAAAGATCTAAATAAGAGTGGCGGTTGCCGGTTTGGTGTACGTGGTTGT